TATCTTGTTGATGTCAATCGTTCCCAAACATCTCTTGAAGGCTCATCCTGTAATCAATCGTCTTTTGGGGGTGCCAGCTTCGCTTCAAGGCTCGTCAATCTGCCAATAGTCTAATCACTGCTTATGAGTATGCATCTTTGACGCCGGGTAGTCTGGTCTTCGCCCACACTCAACCTCCTCCTTCAGCCATCTGGTTCTGAGCAATAACTTTTGCACCTTATCTCGACACAGTCATACCCTTTTCACACACATAAGCAATGTTACAAGGGCTCTCAAGGTTATGCTGTACAACATCAACATCTGCATTGGCAAAGCAAAGAGGCATTGTAAATCAAGCAATTAAGGCCTCAGCCTTCAACATCCCTTTAGTCTCAACAACACAGACCAAAACTATCTTTTTAGTGAGTTTAGTAAACAGACCTAAGTAAACTTTAGGACAAAGAAATAGACATTTAACTAAAAGGGCTTATTTTAATATTAAACTACATTACTAAACCTAAAATACAAATATAAAATGAATAAAACTTTCAGTTCCAACATGCTATCCTGCACCACAGGTGGCACACTGTGCACCAAGGGCGCTGGTTTCAGTGCCAATGCCAGTTACATCAACTGATTCCAACAGAAGAAGCCTTAGCCTCAAGTCTTTTTTTAGTTCTGGGGCAAAAGCCCTTACAAATATTGCACTCATCTGTTTAGTGCCTCTTGTCCAGGCACTTAAGGCAAGATTCAGGCAGATCACCTGTGGACATAGGCTTCTGACAAGAAGTGCAGGGCTTGAAGCCTTGGGATTGAGATGGTAAGAAGGAACTGAGCAGGGGGGTGGGCCATGTGATATATACAGCACCATAATGGTGCCACTATAGGGGACTCCACAGCCAACTGACAGGTACTGCTAAGGGAAAATCTTCCAATGACTGCTCATGCAGTGTACACATACCTGCTTGGAATGGACATGAAGAATTACTTGAAGAAATATAGGCTCTTCCTGATCATTGGAATTAAGGAGCTTGGAGATAAAACTAGTTATAAAGCCAGGCCAGACTATTTCCTTAGGCTACATCTACACTATAGGCTTGCAAAGCAACTACACTGCACGTGCGTTCTTGCGCACGTAAATTTACAGTAAGGTGTCGGAACAGAGGGTTTCTTGCGCAAGAGTTATTCCTCTCCCCACGAGGAATAAGCCCTCTTGCGCAAGAGCTCTTGCACAAGGCGGCAGTGTGGACGGGTAACAGGGGTTTCTTGCGCAAGAAACCCCTCTGGCTAAAATGGCCATCAGAGCTTTCTTGCGCAAGAGAGCGTCCAGTCCACACTGCCATGGACTCTCTTGTGCAAAAGCACATGGTAGTGTGGATGCGCTCTTGCGCGAGACCTTTTGCTCAAGGACTCTTGCGCAGAAGTTCTTGTGCAAAAAGCCTGCAGTTTAGATGTAGCCTCTGTCTGAGAACCTTATGCAGTAAATTGCTCACTGTTACTGACTTGAAGCGTCTTGAGCTTTTTTTTAGAGCACTTTATTTTGAGGCATTTAACTATCACTAATAATGAAAAATAAGGTTATCCTCACTTCCTCCATTTTTTAAAGCATTTCCATAGCTCTGCTGTCTAGCAGATTCAGTTTCTCAGACATAATTCCCACTCATTCATCTTACTTTGCAAGATGCATAGTAATCATGTACCAGTGTTTCTTCCAGCACATCAGCTGTTTTGCACAAAAGGTTTTAGTGTACCCTTTAATGCTCTCAAGAATTATGTTCTGTACTGTTAACTTTTTACCTCTGAGTTAGATAGGGAGATGGTTTCCTTTCAATGATAGTATTATAGCCTAGATGAACATTTTATTTCTTTAATATAAAGTTCACAGAACTTATCAGTCTAATATCTGGTATGAACAGATTGTCATTTTTCCCTTCTACCTCCCCTCCTAATGCAGTGTTTGAGTAGAACAAAGCTCAGTAGCTTTCTTTGCTGATATCAAACTGTGCGCCCTTTCCACTTAAAGTGGCATTGTGCTTTTCCCTCTACATTTTAATTAAACCTGAGCAGTTTCAATGCTCAGCTAATTCTTCTGTTTAAACAGGGTCCTCTGGTTCAACCTACTCAGCCTTTTTATTGTGAATCTTACACTCACGTGACTCCATATAAACATTAAACAGGCTTCTGTCTTGTGAGATGTGGAAAGAGATTGTGTAATTCTTTGAAAATAATAGCAGGTAATTGCATCAGTCAAAACACAATTGAGAACTCATGAGAGATTAACAAAACATAACACATTGCTTCTGTGATCAATGGCTTCTAATTCTTTGCATTATAAAGCACTGAAATATCATTTACTAAACATATTTTAGAAAAAACTGGATCACTGTCTAGCAGTGATATGCGAGAAAATACTTTGTAAAAAATCTTTAAATTCTGTTGCAAAATTATGACGATTAGGGATGGTTTCTATGGTAATGTTGGCTTTCTTTCCTTCTTTGAATAATAATAAACATTTATCTCCCAAAGACTACTTGGGCTGAAATGCAGAAACATTTGTTTGCCTTTAGAATGCACCTGACTTGCACTGTGTCATGTACTTAATTTTTTAAAAATTATCTAGGAGAAAAGGCACTAGATGCTACAAAGTTACTGACACCATTGCAAATTACATAAGTGAAAGACTTTATATTACATTCACTATGTGTGTATGCAAACATTTCAAACCAGTGTACTTCAGTGACAGTTGATTTGTCCAAGTAGTACCATTCTCCTTGCATACAGTTACAAGATCACATATTTGTTTCAATTAGAACACAAGGAAATAGATTTTGAAATTCCCTCCGTGTCCACACCACCAGTGCACAGAGTTTATTGCAGGCTATGGGGCATCTTTATGGGAATCTCTTTTTAAAAATATCAGAAGAGTATTGACATCTAGAAATCACCCTGAGCTGCAAGTTTCAGGTCCACGTCAGAATCTGGCCTTGTCAAAACATTAGCACATTCCCAGAGGGATTCATTCGCATTAGTGATCACTCTAAGCTGCAAATCAGCACAATCTTTTTTGTAAAGTTTCATGTGAAGGAACTTCAAATCAGGTTCATATTTATGTGTTGTGAAAATTCCAAGTGTTGGACACACAACTCAAAAGAGCACTATATAATTTTTGAGACACCCTTAAGGAAATGGTGGCAAGTATATACTCATGGGTAGTTATCTTGCAATAAACAACCTATCAATATTCTAGTTAAACTAACACAGAAAAGCACATGCAACCTGAAGACAAAGGCTAGATATCTGAGCATTTTACATTAATATGTAGATCTAATGGCTATTCTATTTTCCTAACTAGTTATTACTCTATAATTTTCAAACTCTAGCTATGATATTTAGCACTCTAAATATCTCAGGTCATTTTTTATCTCATTAATTTGTAATTGAGAGAGATACATTAAATAAAAAAGTTGCTATATGACCAGTGTTCCATTTACTTTTTCCTGTGTTCAAAATACATTTTTTTCTGTGCACGGAGGCATGTGCAGATGTGCACCACCAGTAGAAACACATGCTGCAGGCTGTGGGCACTCTGCTAATCAGCTGAGTGGCATTTGAATCTCTTCTGGATGCCCCCTCAGGCACTCAGTTTACAGTAACACTGTCTATGACATTAGGTTTCCTGTATAGCTGACATTTGTTCAAACAGCACTAACCATTACTAAATGTGATTGATAAACATAGTTTGTTTCATGGGTTCAGATGAGAACCTTACTGTATCTGTATTAGTGTATAGTTTCAGATTTACAGCGGATCTGAACAAAAAACCTGTACTAGCTTGTAATTCTACACTAAGGCTAAGTCTACACTGGCAGATTCTTGCAGAAGAACAGCCGTTCTTCCGCAAAAACTTGCTGGCTGTCTATACTGCATGAGCGTTCTTCCAGAAGTAAATTTACAGTACAGCGTTGTAAAACAGGGCTTCTTCTGGAAGAGTTATTCCTCTCCGCATGAGGAATAAGTCCTCTTGCGCAAGAGCTCTTCCAGAAGAGGGCAGTGTAGACAGGCAATATGAATTTCTTGCTCAAGAAGCTCTTGTGGTTAAAATGGCCATCAGAGCTTTCTTGCAGAAGAGAGCGTCTACACTGCCATGGATGCTCTTGTGCAAAAGCACATGGCAGTGTAGATGCTCTCTTGTGGAAGAGTTTTTGCCCAAGAACCCTTCCGCAAAAGAGTTCTTGTGCAAGAAGCTGCCAGTGTAGACGTAGCCTAACAGTAGTGGTGCAGAGTCCTTTCTCCCCCTCCCCCACAACCCTAGGAATATAAGATGGTAATAATGTCTCTTTTATGCATGTTTGCTTGGATCTTGAAATATTTAGAAGACAGCCATTCTTTTGAGGTTAGTTTCAATACTTGGTTCTGAATGGGTGATGCCTGCAGGGTTTTGGGTCAATTATTCCCATTAGATACAAGACTCTTATTTTGGATTCTTTACCTTGTAAAATGAATATTAAATTCCCATAACAGTACAGTCAGGAGACAGGTGGTTGGTTGAATATTTGGCTTTAAAGTCCATCTGAAGGAAGAACAAAGACTGGGACTCAAAGAGAAAACAACATGAAAATGCAGTTTGTATATTTTAATTGAGAAAAGTGGTTCTCCTTTTACATTAAGTAATCAAGGATTACTTATATGAGCAAGGCACACAGGAGCTGGCCATTAGTATGGAGAAAGCAGTAAGTCCCATCTGAGTGCAAGTTTCCCTAAAAATTGGTTGTAGTGTGATTGAGCCAAAGCTATAGTTTAGCCTTTCTATATAAATTGAGTGAAGTCATTATTCTCTTTGTAAAATGTAATATTAACATTTGCCTCCCCAAAAAATATAGGATAAATTCTAGCCCTATTTCAGTCAGTCAGTTTGCCAATTGATTTCAGTAGAGCCAGAATGTCTCCCATACATGCATTTTATCCTGCCAATTTCCCAAGTAAAACTATATTATATTTTCTCATTTTTTCTCCCCTTCCAGAGACTCCAATAAACCTCCAGTGGAAACTCTTTCCAGCTCACAGGGTAATACTTCAAACTTCTTTGCTGTTAATCCAACATTGGTGGGGACCTATATGAACAGTTATCACCCAGTGTCTTACCAAAGGCCTCAGCAGATGCCATTAGGAATCTACTGGACAAATGGAGATGGGGATTTTTTCAATACCAGAAATGAGAACACAGCTTCTGACTCGACTCCTACTACGGAAAGTAGTAGTGATGACACTGTCCATGTATCCAAATGGAATTTGATGTTGAGAAACAGTAGTGTGGAGAACAGTCTATTAACGGAAGCAAGTGATAAGCCTAAGACTGAAAAAGTGAATGATGTTTTGCTTCATTATTTCAAAGATATGGATCTGAACTTAAGACCAGAAACTCTACAAAATATTGGAAAAGCTTCCTCCAAGCATCAAAATGAAGTGTTTCCATACCCCGATTTTCTCCCCCCACCTTTCAACAACCTGGATTTACAAAAGTTGGCCATATCAAAATGGGATGACTGGAAGGTATTCTTTAATCCACCACCGGAAAAGTCTGTTATGAAATTAATCTCTCGTCTATTGGAAATTGAAAGGATGCAGCACTTAACTATATTAAAAGAGAAGACAAGAGACTTGACAGTATCTCCCAGTGTGATGCTTGGCAATAGACCTAGTTCCACAAAATCTATGCATCACTTGAAGCAGTCAAGATTGTCTGACCCTTCATGTCTCCAAACAGCTTTTAATGGAGAATATCAAGAGAAAAATAAATCTAGCTATTCTGGCTGCTGCATGCATGAGTGTAACAGCTCAAAATGGGAGCAGTGTCAAAATTGCAAATGGAGTGCTAGGTCATCCTCTATTAAAAGTTCATTCACAAAGCATCTTAGAGCATCTTGTGATGCCTTTAAAAGCTCTAAAGCCCCCATCATTTTAAACTCTAGCAACATGCTCTTGCGAAGGTCTTCCTCATGCTGTGTGGCGGCACCAAGAATTCAATCAACTGTTAAATTGACTTCCCAAAAGATACTGCCACCAGGTATTGCTGTAACCAGTCTTTACCCTGATAAGGACAATTCAAAATATAAACAGCCAAGGACCAAAAAGAAACTCTACAGAAAAAATGTAGTAACGAGTAAGCTAAAATCTGTATCTACCATGCCAAAGCAGAAATATACTGACACTGACAAATAGTAATTTCTTGAATTCATACTTCTCATTATGAGTGAGTCTTGCTTAGCAATCTTGTTTTAGCTTGATTTTTGTCAAGATAAAGTATTTTTAATGGTACGAGACAGAAGTAATATGAAATAATATTTGTGACAATTGAATCCACTTGGCAGCAGGCAGAGGGATAAAACGGATTTTTCTACATTTTACAAATGCTTTGCGTAACTTTTGAAATAACTGAATATAAGCATACCAGCAGATCATTCCAGAGTGTTTCACATTAACAGAAGTAGTATCGATATAGTAACATTGAGGTAGCGTCCAGAAGATCCCATTCAGCATCAGTGCTTCCCCATGTACTAGGTGCTGTTTCACTACATGATACGGTGTCGGCCATGAACAGTTCACATTCTAAGTGCAATATAAAAGGTGGGAAGAGAACTACAATTTCTACACGTCATTTTTTCTGATACATAGATTAAGGGTCAGTGGCCTGATTATATACATGGGAAAATAGTGAAACAAGATAAATGTGTATTTCTTGCGATATGAAATTACTCTTTCCTCAAAAAGGAAATTAAATGGAACAGCTGCTAAATTGATGACATTTTGCTGTACATACATAGAAATTGGGAAATTCAGATTTATGGTTCTGATTGCAACCATAGTTGTCTTTGTGTATGTTGGCCATGTTATTTTACACATGCGCACACACACACCCCCCTATTGACACCTATTATGAGCTTCACCACCCTCTTTGAGGATACACATTACTACATACCATCAGGTACCTGGGCACTAGATCTATGTTATCTGATTCCCCAATGGAGCAGACTGGAAATTATGTAGTTCCATTTAATTCAAGTCAGTACACTATTCCCAATGTTACTTGTTCAGCTATTAAATTTGTTTTTATACTGCCCTATCTTCAGCAGTCTCTTGGTTTGACAAGTAATTGAGCTGTAAAGGTTGTCAGAGGTAAACTAGAGGCTTTTGGCACATGAAAAGGTGGAGGGATTACCATATTAGCTAAATATTTTTGCTAAAATGATCAGCAGTGAAATAGTTGACATTTCAAATAGTTTTAGGTTTCAGGGTTACCAGTCCTTAGCACAGTTCACCATTATTCATGGATAATTTTCTCAATACAAGCTAGAAATAATTGTTTTGAAACCCCAAAAATGTTAACTACTGGACTTTGTATATAATAAGGGCTGATATTACATACAATACAATGTAGCATGGCCTGTAATTCAACACATGCCTCCAACTGCTTCTCATCAGAGAAACTTGCATAAAATTATTTCTCAACAGTTCGGAGTTTAAAGTAAATAATAGTACAGGAGGGGAAGGAAGGTGGTGATTGCCATTTAACACCCTGATTTCAGTTGGTTATCACTTTTTGACTTTCATTTTGGAGCTGAAAGAGAAAGGGGCCATAGCACAAGCTGTCAGTAGATGCACTGAGTTGGAGTAATCTCTGCTGGCAGAGCTCTAATGGAACTTGGGGAGAAACTAAAGCTTCTTCCTTCCACCCCTTGACCCCATACAAATTCAAAGAGTGTTATCAAGGGAGACTAGCTTGAGCGTGCCTGGCTTACGATCTTAACCAATTCTTGTTCTGAAAAGAATTATTGGGAGCAATTGGGACATCTCCTCCCCCAAACGCACACTGATTGCTAGAACTCATAGTGATTACAAGGCTCTCACAACCCACTCCCACTGGTGGCTTGAGCAGGATATTTAAGATGCCAGTATTCAAGAACTTGAGGGCTTTTCAGCCATCAACAACTTTAACATCCATTCTTGCATCACAAACTGATTAAGACCTACTCAGGCAGGCTGAAAAGACCTTTCCAAAGTGATTAGCATTCACTGAAGTTACAGTTATAAGCTTTAAAGAAAAGATTTTTCCTCAAACTGCACCTTGGAATCAAATAGGTCTGTTTTCTAAGATCTACAGAGGTGTCATGTTCATGCTAGCAATACAATTAAAAATCCCAAGTACAGATAAATCCATTTGGAAGGTCACTTTGTGTGATTTCCTGCCTTGGTAAAACCCTTGCAGTACAGCTTGTCTCAAAACAGTTTTGTTTAATGAACACTTTAAATGGGAAGTTTCCTAAAAATATTTTGGAGCCTGATCTTAATCAAGCACCTGCAACTTGCAGGCAGTGGCTGCACTGGCAAAAAGGGACGCATAATATGCTGACAGTGCAGAACCACTAGAAGAAACTATATTAGAGAAAGCTTTCAGATCTCTTTCACCATGCTACTTAACTAACCCAGCAGTGATTTTTGAAGTTCAAAAACAAGACCAATGATGGATGGAAAGCCAGAGTGCACTTGGTCAGCTCAGCTGATTCCCATATCATTTGGAATTTCCTGAGGTCCCACTTCAAGGAAACATCCTTAGTAAAGGACAGCATATGAGTTTAAGAAGCAATCAAGACTATATGTGCTTAAATGTTATCATAGATAGCAGTAGTGTTATCACATGCTTAAGAGCTCTCATGAATTGGGGCACTAAAATTTAGAACCTCCAAATGTCCCTAAACCTTCTATTTTCCATACTTTCCACATTGGATTTCTCAAAGCAGCTATAGACCTACGTTTATGACCAATTGCATCCTGAATCAGAGTTTTGGATTGCTTTGGGCTAATGGAAACATCTCCTGAACTCAAAGCTGAAACCCAAAATCCAGCCTCTACACAAAAAATTGCACTTGTATTGCTCATGATGAGCAGCTCACTGCTCCAGGAAGTAGTTTATTATTACACTGTAGAAAAATATACTTCATATTTAGGCACAACCTGCATTTGTTACATTTTAAAAATGTATTAGTTCAGGTCTTGTAAGCCACAAGTGGTAAGTAATATATCTCACAGATCAAGGTTGTGAACCAGAACTCATTTACATTTTCTCCTGCTAAATCTAAAAATTTTGTAATAAATATTTACCCCAGAGGTTTTCAAATTACATTTTTTAACCATTTTTCAGGATAAATGTTCTATGATTTGAAGTATTTGCATAATTGCATTTTATTTATAAGCTCTTGAAAATGCAGCCATAAATTTTAAATAAACTTGACATGTTTTTCTGAACAAATGCTGCGAGCAGTGACAGCTGGCTTGATGAATAACACAGTCATCACAGAACTCACTTAACCATGATTGGGTTATCAGTGACTAAGATTAGAATCAGCATTTTTGAAAGGTGAGAAGCTATTAACCAGCTAAATATAAAACTATTTAAATTCAGGTAAGCCAAAATTCACCCCAAACACAAGATATACCCTTTTTGTTATGTTCCATTTAAAACCATTGGCTAAGGCCAATTTGGTTTATATTTTGCAACATTTTCATTAATACCTACATATGAAAGGGCATATCGCTCACAACTGCACATCATTTAATAAAAATGAATCACAGTATGAAGTTGGAAAGTTTTCAGATTGAGGGGTTTTTAAAATAGTTTATAAATGGTTTGTAAAATAAATTATGAAAAATATGAATATATAATATACTAATGTCAGAATTATTCTAACAAGTGCATAACTATGTGCCTGGGGGGGGAGGGGAGGGGAGAGAAGCATTTATATTCACTGTCCAAAGCATACAACAAGAGATGAAAAAAATCTCATGTTAGTTGCTATAAGTTATGGGTATGGATAGTTTTACACTTCAGAGTTTAAAAAAAATCACTAATAAAAATTAGACTAATTTACAATCTGGTAAATGAGTACTTCATTTTAAAAGCGGACATAAAAAACCCAAGACACATGAATTTGGGCTATTTTTGTCCTTTCTGACGTACAGAAGGCAGCTTGACAGGAATTCTTTTTGCTTCTCCATCCCCTTTAAAAAAAAGAGGGGGGGGGGGACATCAAGAACACAACATCTGCTTTGATTTGTTTTCCTTTAGGTCTCCCTTGAAAGACTATGATGTGGATTGGAAGCTCTCTGTCCTTCACTGAAGGTCTAAATTGAACCATTAGCCAAAGAAATTTTTTTTTCTGATTGTCAAGTGTTTGAGTTAAATAGGGATTATCAAAAGTGAACGTAACACTAAAGTTTTAGGTTTTAAACAGGCTTAATAAAAAATTATTTCTCTCCAAATTACACTTGTTTGGTTAATATGAATCTGCTGGTTGTTCAGTTGTTAATAGTCTTTCCCAGGAAAGACCTGTAATTTAAGTAGCAGGTTTGGGTTTGTTTTTTTAAAATTTTTGGCCTTCCTATAGCCTGAAGGAGCAGAAATGCAATTTTTCTTTTCACTCTCAGATCTTTTTTCAATACACACATATGCTGACAGGAAATTATAGCCATTATTTCAAATGTTAGTGTGTGCATTGTCTTGTTGAGTATTCCCTACAATTCCTCAGTAGTCAATTTTATTATTCATTAATATACCTTTTAATTGTTCCTGTGTATCTGTGAAATGACAATTTTTAGAACAATGATTAAAATAAACCTGGACTAAATGGGTCAATATAGGTTAATAGGCAAGGTCTGAAATTGAAGCCTTTTGATTGATATATTCTGTAGGAGACTGTCCTCATTATGTTGATTGGACTTGTCCACATGTGACAATGTAAACATCACACTGAAAGATATAAAATAAATCCAAACTGATCCAGATATAATTGGAACATCTGACCCATTGTCTTTTCAAAACTAGTGATAATTTAAAACTGTGCCGTTATATACAGAGGAGGATGACAGCTATGAATGACGTGTCTACAGCAGGTTAATTGATAGTGTGTGGCTAGTTTTTCAGACTTGCATACACTACTGCTGATAAATGATATGCCAATGCACAGACAAGTACAACACCACACCAGTAAATATGGCTGCCTTTTGTTAATTGTCCCAAACTCAGTAAAATGGACTTGGCCAAAAAAGGATTAAAAAGGGTGACAAAGAAAGAAAACAGATATGCTGTCAACTATCAATACTGGAGAATTTTTCAAAACAAAATCACTACTTAGGAGTAGTTACCATTTAACTACACTCTTACTGCATTCCTCATCTATCAGCTTGGTTTTGAACTAAAATATGCCATGAAATCTTGATTCTGCGTAGTGTAAATCCTCTTCACATTAATTTCTAACACTGACAAAATAATTGGTAGTCTGCCCTGGACATGACTTTTGAGACAACTGTAAATGCCATCTTTCCTCCTTCAGAAGTCTGAACCATAATTTACCTTTATAGAGTCATCCCGGCAATTTAAAACGAATTCAGGTTATGGTGCTACATACAACTGCTTTGGCCAGGATCATGGCTACCATTAAATTGGATCGAGCCATTTGATTATTTCCAATGGTGGGTTTTTTATTTTAACAAAAATACTTTGTTGGTTAACAAAGACATTTGAAATCTCTTATTGGGGAGAAAAGCAGGGCAAGAATAGTCAGTGTCATAAGGAGAGAAAGAAGTAGCTAGTAATATGGGTATCTTACATTACATTCAGCATTATTTGTATGTTGTCTAGCTATTAAGGACTGGATCCAGAAAATATGCATGCAGTTTTTCACAACTGTAGCCCCACTGAATTAAAATGGGCCAATTGACATGCAAATAATTTCAAGAATTGGGACCTTAGAAACTCTTCTAAGCAGGAACTGTGTTTCTTTGTGTACACTTATTAAAGGAATTGTGGGTGCTACTGCTGCAATAGAAGTACTGGTTCACTCTCTACTCCAAAGGAACGTCTCAGCTATAGAGTATATCGGTATTCATGTCTTAACTACATGAAACACTCAACAATTTAATGGAAGAGAAAAAATCTGTGAGTGGAAACAAATGACACTGTTCTTTTTCAGTTGCACCTTTGTGTTGTGTGCAATAGTTTCCTTCTAAAGAAAAGTCAAGACAGTGCTTGAGAAATCTCAAAGAGTGCATGTTTTGGTTGCAGTAGGTTAGATTTCTCAGCCATTTTTTTCCTTCCATCTTTTAAGTTTTTAGTTTAAGACAATGCTCACTGGGTCTTGAATATTTGGGTGCCAGGAACTACAAAGAAACAGGAAACCCCAGTGTTCTAAGGAAGAGCATCTATCATTGCTATGAACCCCACATAGAATATTTTTTAATTGATAACCTTGTTTGATGGCAGGGAAAGACTAGAATTTAGCAGTTAAGAGGGAAACGTTTAAACAGGGGAGTTGAAGAGTTCATCTTAGAAGCAAATTTGCATGACACTGTGGTTAAGTACCTTTGGGTTTTGACCATTTTTTTTTGTTTTTTGTGTTTTGAGGTCTATATTAATTCTTGCCTGTGTGATATGCTCCTGGCAGATATACACAATTTTATTATTTAGTTTGGTTTTTCTGTAGTGTTACAGTCTTGTTTTTCCTTTATGTAACCTGTAAATATTGTTATAAATAAACCCTTTATTCTATTTATGATGATGTCTTGGTTGCTGCTTTTAGGGAAAGTGGCTATTTGTTGCTGGTAAGATCTTCCTTGAAGGCATACTAACTCTAATAATATAAAAAAGAAAGCTAAGTAATGCAAGAGTACCCTCCAGTTAACAGATTCTGGTACCAGTAGGTTATGCAACAAATATTCTTCTCTGCATTAAACCAGAACTTTCAAATTTTATAAACTGACTATTTAGAAAAACACTATAATTGCAGGAAGTATCACAAAAATAAAATTTCCAAATATCTACATTTTTTTGAATGCACCTAAAAAATCTGTTGATTCCTCTTGAAAAGGGAATCATGCAAATGGGCTGGTGGGACTCAGGACATACAATTTGTACAGCAGAAGATTTTTCTGCGTACAGATGAAGTAGGCAAACCAGATACACCATAAATCAGTTATCAGCATAAAACACCTGCTCTTGCTGGGGGCCATAGAATTGTGGCCCGACATAGGTGGGGCTAGGGCACTTGCATCTCCCTGATCACCTCTGTCAGTGAGGGTTAAAATTAAAGTCTCAGAATAAAAAGATGGCCCCTGCCCTAAAGTTATTACAATCTTAGTAGGAGATCAGACACAACCAACCAGTGCTTTTTTTGTGATGGTACTGCCTGGTATACAGTACTAGCACCTCCAATCAGAGCTCAACAACTTTTCCCCTGCAGTACGAGCACTTTTTTTTTTTAAACAAAAAAAGCACTGGAGACATGAAGATTTTTGTAGGAATCTCAGTAAAGGAGAGTTTAAAGAGGGTGAGTTAGGCTGCAGGTGTTTCTGGAGAACTTCTCCCAAGCATGAGGGGCAGCATGGGACAAAGCAAACTGCTTGAAAACAGAGACTGGCATCACAGACTGATCAGAGGTGGGAGTCAGCACTTCAAATGTCAAGACTGGAATTCTGAAGTTCAAGGCCCTTCAGAGACAACGCCCTGCCAGCAGCTCTCACCTCTTTTAAACAAAGAGGCTTCAACTCAATTACTTCTAGTTAAAACTGTAGCATTGTTATCACCTTGGGAGAGAGATGGTCTCAAGTAGGCAGCTCCACGCTTTTAGAAACTGACAGGTCAATACAGTACCAAGACCTTAAATTTCACTCAGCAGTTAACAGGAAGCCTGTACAGAGCATCAAATTTCACATGCTCACAAATGAAAAACTCCAATTAACAAGTAAGCCACCACACTCTGCTTTATTTTTAAGCTGATTTATGGTGCTGTCTATCTAGACTGCATTGCTATTGTGTCACTTTAAGGTTTCAAGGTGACATGGTGAAGGAGGTCTGCACCCAAACGAATCTGAACTTCTTGTCTAGATGAAGACATCCAGCTATCCTGGCCACTGCTGCTATGTTGATTTAAAAAAAACAAACAAAAAACTAGTGAATCAACAATACATCCAGAAACAAATGGTACACACAACCCCTCAATTAAAGAGGCAACATAATTCTCTCCATTTCATCAGACTGCTTTTCCCATTCTACCAACTTCACACTCTTACCCTGATTAAGCTATATCCATCTATCTTGGACACTAACATGGCCCAATTAGTATAACACTCTTTGGAATGTATTTATCCTCACAAAACCTTGTACACTATTACCCCATTTTACAGATAGGGAACTGAGGCACAAAGATTCTTGCCGAAGGTCACAAAGGAAGTTTGTGATGGTGCAGGGAATTGAACCCTTCTGGTATCTCAGTGATTGATGCTGGCCTAAACTCAAAACAGAGAAAATGGAATCTGAAGAACAACATTGGCCTGGTGTAGTGGATGCAAATATTTGAAGTAAGTATTAAAAGCTTTGCCCATCAAATTTATAAACTAAACAAAAGTAAAAAACACAAGATGCAAATTAGTTCCAAGACTTTATTTTATTAACTTGAAGCAAGTGCCACTTTGAACATTTGCTGCCATCACTGTAAGTTACAGTTGGAGACTTATTACACTGTAGAAGATTAAGTTATATTCTCCAGTATTCTCACAGAATGATCAGTCTCCTGTGCATGGATCAATATATTCAAAGGTTCTTCAGAGGTTTATTGCCACTTACCCTACACATGGAGGAAAAACATTATTAAAAATGTATGATTCACAATCAAAATTCATTTAACAATGGTTTTCAATTATGTCAACCTATATGTATACACCTAAGCAACATACATAAATACAATAAAAGGCATTTGTAGTACACATTTTCAGTAATCTGACTCAGCACTGAAGCAGCAGTGCATTTAATTCTTGTCTAGGAGTCCAGATTCAAAAGTACTTTTAGTTTGTTTATTTTCAGTGACCATAAAACATAGATCATGGGTTAAATGCTTAGGTTCAACCAAGCTTCACTTCGCACAGAACTTGGTGTGGAGGCAACAAAAATAGCTGTACACCAGCCTCATCCAAAAGCCCCTGTGCAAGTTAAAGCAGTTTCAGAGATTCTTCTAACTTGTAATAGTTTGTAACAGTTGGGAACCAGCACAGTGTAGCACCATTCCAGTCAGACATCCAATTCTCCCCTATCCCAAGGGTTAAGAGGAATAGGGGTGGCAAATAGGTGGCTATGTGTCTCTATATTACACAGGAATCATCTGTGATGGGTAGGGGAGGGCATTTAGCTGGCTGTTCAAACCGGAATTACAATTCCTTTGTTCTGCCAGAAAAATACAAAGAGTGCTAGAAGAGAGTATAGGGTCAAAGACCAGGATCCACTTGTTTTTCAACAATTTCTCATAATAAATTTTCCCCATTATAATGTTTGCTTTGCTGGCTGAAAGTAACTAAGAGACTATTAGCATATATAATGCATGTACTACAATAAAACCTGGGAACAAAATTTTGTATCCTCTGATAGTAAAATCTTAAATACAACAGTGATGCTAATATAACTATTTAAATATTAGGATGGAGACACGTGTGTGTATGCGCGCGCGCACGCGGATACACACACACACATTTATTTCCATTTAATGTTGTTGACTCCTTCTTAAAGAAAAAATACCACACTAAAAATTTATCTGATAAGAAAAAAGCAAACAGATACAGTATTGTGTATCTTTCTACATTTGATCACAACAAAATCACAGACCAGAAATGAAATAAGCACGTCTTACATATAAATACCAGCACAACAGGACTATTCTTAGAATTACCAATAATGCAATAGTGCTAATGAAACCTAGGTCTGAATGCTGTAAACAGAAAGATTAGACAGATAACATGAAAAATATTTTATGTCTTTTATGGGACAGAAACCTTTGTTCATGTCTTCTGGTGGTCATCATCTTCTTTTGAGCTGCACCTACAACACAAAGAACAAGTAAACGAGCAACTTTATGCTTCTTTAGTATAGTTCTTAAAAGCTCTGTAGGTATAAGGTGCATTGTTTCTATTGGAGTTGACAACTCATTTCACTATTCTTAAATAGGGAGACAAAATAATGGTCAAAATCAACAGAAACAATAAGATTTCACTACATCTGCATAAAATTGCCACCGGAAGTGCTGGATAGGTCTATAGGCATCACCAAAACAGTGCAAATTACTTTGTGTGGAATTAACAAACAAGTATCTAGTTCTTCATCTCAAGTAAGAGAGAAATCTGCATTCTATTTCCTGTATGAACAAGAAACTTGGTATATTGAAGTAGGAACAGATTTACTTTTCATTAAAATGAAAATAAAAACTTAGAAAAGACAGGTTGAAGGTTCAAAATAGGCATGTAACATCACCCATCACCTGCCTGCTTCGTAGTTCATTACATCTCCTTGGTGGGGAACACCCCACCAGCAGAATGACTGCTTAGTCTCATTTTCTATCCTTGATTGCACTATATGTGCATGTTTGTTGCAATTATGTGCCTAGATGGATAAAGAAATCCTATTACAATTTTTGAAGAGTTTAAAAAAACCTAAACCCTGGCTTTTTTATACATTTTATGCAAATAATAAATGGAAATAGAAGATGCATTTATATGATCTCAAACTATATATAAAACATAAGTATGAATTGGAAAGTTTTAATCTGGATTCTTCTTGTTGCATACCTAACTCAAATGTTTCAAACTATTTTTTAACTTGTTGCTAAATGTTTATCTACACATGCTGTCAGAAATAACCTTGTTAGGAAGGTGAAGTTGGTGTCTCATCAAATCAGACCCATGGAGTAGGCGTTGAGTGGCCTGTGCCTCGCTTTCCTTTCTCTCTTTCAGCACCATCAAAAGGAAAAGTGAGAAAAACAGCATAAACATTAGTTAAAGCCTGAATTCAATCAAATATCCTACAGGAATAATTTCATAACAATGAAAGCAGATAGACAGTATCTGTAGGTTTTTGGTTAGTTTTCTTTCTTTTCTTTTCTTTTCTTTTTTTTTTACAATGATGATAATTAGAGATCTACTTAATGTAGTCTAATATTGCCTTCCAAAGATCATCATAATCCCTTTAATTAAAGGGTTAACAGAAAAATGAAGGTTTTCTTCTTATGTATTACCTGATTTACCAGCACTGAAGACAAAAATATTTTAAAAATGGCTACAAATGCCTTGTTCACAAAAGACTTTATTATCTAATGATGCATACTGAAAACATACAGAAATCTGCATGGTCCACTTTACATGCAGCAGAACAATCTTCACTTTACAATAAGTGAGTGTCAACTGTTTTATGCAAGAGACAACACTGTCACATTTCTTAAAGAAAAGCTTCATTTACAAAAGAAATAAAAGGTAAAGAAGCAATTACCGCTTTTAAAAAGCAGCTGCTTTGTTCAAGAGTGGAAGGTTTATGCCTGTATTGAAAGACAACATGATCACAAATAATGAAAACAATGAACAAATGAAACACTTTTAGCATAAAGCAGTACACTTTCAAAATGACATACAAATAGTTAAAAATTGCATTATGTTGTCTATCTATCCTTTAGATATAAGGTCTTTCAGAATCAGATCTCAACATATGTAATTAGTAAATGAAAACTCTTCTGTAAGTACTGGTTCTATGTCATAGTGAACTATATTTAACAAAATGTATACAAAGTCTATAGCAAGTTGATTAAAAAATTAAAGTAATAAGAACAGTACACTGAAGGCGCTCTATCCATCAAGTGCGCTTTCTCCAAATTTTAAATGTGATGAACAGAACATAAGTTGTAACTATGCCACAGTTGCAATGCCAGAAAATAAAACAACATCAGTTATCAAACATGCAGGGAATTCTGCCATAAAGCTATTGTCTCTCATTTGTCAGTTGTTCCAATAAAATAACATCTTAAACACCGGTGACGTTGATGGTTTAGCTTACCTTCAGTGTACTGAAAGTTGTACACAACCTGCTTTAAAAGAGGAGACCATCCCTGCAGGCAGGCTCAAGAAGGAACAGATTCCCTTCGGCACTGACTACACCAAGGGCATGCTGCTGTGGCCTGCACACACACACCTAGGAAAACGTGAATATAAACAGCATTTATGCTGGCCATTTTTTAAAGACAAAAATGAAGCCAAGTCTGCTAAAAACAAATCGACCACCCAGTATTACTGTTCTTTTATAACAAGCTTTTTTTTTATAATATGTGAACTGCAACCATATACATTAGCATTGTACTTTTGTGCAGTCTTGGCAATTAAAACAGTTCTACAGTGAAAATTTTCACATAAGACACGAACAGAATTACTCTAACATTTCTAAAAGAAATATCAGCCTTGGTGTTAATTCAAATATATCATTCTTCCTCAACTTTGCAGGGGAAATATTTATGTTTATATACATTAATAAACTGCTGTGAAATTTCTTCAGTCTTTGTATCTTAACTACTCAAACCCTTTGAACTTCTTCATTGGATTTAAATTTTTTCCTGGATGAAGGCGTGTTGTAGAGCCTGGTTGATGCTAATCCGTTTGGCTGGGTCTAACATTAGGATCTGGTCCAACAAGTCCTTTAGCTGATGTACTTTTTTCCGCTGATCTTCAGGGAGTCGTTGGCAACCAATCAAGTCTGCTAATAGGTCCTTGGTTGGATTAATGGTGCTCATGACAGTTACTTTTTCCTAATATAAAAAGTGCAACCAACATTTACTTCCATATAAACTAGTACTGTTAATAAAATTACTAAGTGTAAAATAACAAGCACTCCAATTAGAAAAACTATTGCTCCGCTGTTATTCCACCTAAATTTACTGCTGTCAAAACACAAATTTAGTGTTGTAACTCTAATTACTATGTTATCCAAGTAACTGAAATTTGAAAATATGATTAATTCATGTGATTTATGCCAGATGCATTAATTTCTTTGCACATCACATTTAAGATCTGTTTCCCTATGTTTGAGACTCAATGGATTGAGAATTCAAAGAAAGAAACCATATTCTATACTTGCCAATGTGATACACTCTTAGTGTGCACTCTAATGTTGCAATGGTACATACTATAATCCCTAAAAAGGGCATATCTACATTACAAAATTATGTCATCCTAATTTACATTGGCCTATAGCCATCACAATCATTAAATTGCTTTTACAGTCTACACTGCACTCCTGTCAGTGGTGCACTTCCTCACCAGTAGCACATGTACCAAATGTACTGTCCATGTAGGGCAGGGGTGAGCAATAATTTTTGATGGGGGGAGCAAGTTGAGATTTTGGAAAGTGGCCAAAGGCTACACTCTTACATGATATCAATGGAGGAAGTGTAGGGTCTGGGATGCAGGTTGGGTGAAGGAGGCAGTTGTGACCTGGGGCACTGGACTGGAGTGCAGTAGTTTGTGTTGTGACCTGGGACAAGGGATTCAGGTGCAACGTTTGGGTTGTGACCTAGCACTGGAGGGGGTTGTGACCTGGGGCAGGGAATTGGGAAGCAGAGTCTGGGAGGGGTTATGAGTTCAGGAGGGGGGGAATGAAGGTTTGGCTTATGTGGGGTATGGGGTAGGAGTGGGGGGCAGAGGGTTGGGGGTAGAGAGGGGCTGGGGTGCCAGAGGCAGACTCTGACCAGGAAACTTACATGGATGACGTCTGGCCAGCAGCCCAGCATGGATTTCATGCAGCTTCCCTGCCCACCCTGCCCCTACACAGGCTGCAGGGGCCATGTGCAATGGTGACTAAGAGCCTGAGGGGAGGGTGCTTCGTGTGCTGCTCCCATTGGCCAGAAATCAACCAATGGGATTATGCTGGGAGGCAGCAGCACATGAAGCACCACTTTCCCTGCCCCCGGGCTCACAGCTGAGAAATGAGAAAGAGAAATAGCTGACGCAGCCGCTTTTCTGAGTGCTGTGGGAAGGGCACGGGCCAATCAGGGAGTCTGGCTGATGTCCCCATCTGTCTGCGAGCCGGATCCAGTGGCTTGGTGGGCTGCATCCAGCCCCCAGGTCATATTTTGCCCAGCCCTGACATAGGGCATTGTAGCATGGCTTCTGAAAGCCAGCAAGTGTTGAAGTAAGCAAAACTGTGCTTATACTGACCCTATGACAACCTAACTACATTGACACTGACTCTCTTCCTCCTGTTAAGATGGAATTATCAAGTTGTAATGGTGGGGCAGTTATGTCAGTCAGAGCAAAATTTTAGCTTAGATGTTTATATAGTTCAGCTGGTATAAGCAGGCTTGTGTTGACCTAACTCCATAGTGTATACCAAGCTTAAGGGAATATATTCTACAACAAACTTTCACATAAAAGTTGCACATTTTCTTATTTTAGCAAATGGCAGCAGCATTAAGATTTACTAATAATTCCAAGCTAAGTTTACACAAGGTTAAACAAAGAATGTATTGTGTTTATGATTTACAATAACCAGATTTTTTATTAAACTAAAATGCAAAGCCATGCAGAATTTCCCTGTAGCGCGAACATAAATTTAACCTATCACAAAAGTATCTGCATTCATTCTGCTGCAGGAAAAAAAAGATTTTAAAAAGCCTTCACAACATGCCGTGGTACTCGTTAGATCCTATTAATTAACAAGTCATTAATTATTGAATTTCATAACTGGAACACAATTATAGTTAAACTTTTTTAAACAAAGGCAGCTCAGTTCATTTAAAACTTACCCTTTCTGTTACTTTGTCTACTTCTATATACATGAAGTTGAGATTTTGATCAAAGTGTTGATCTTTGAACACACCTTTTCGTATCATCTGAAAATAAAACAGAGGACAGGAGTTTTGTAAATTTCTTTTTCTTGAAAACTTCAGATTTCAGACTCAGATCATAAGGGAAAATACATCTACTGACTTACAGTAACATGAATTATTTAATGCTTTTAATGATCTTTCAGAGAGCAGTGAGAAATTACAAGACTATTAGAACAGCCATACTGGGTCAGACCAATGGTCCATTCAACCTAGTATCCTGTTTTCTGATAATGGCCAATGCTAGGTGTTTCAGAGCAAATGAAAGAAAAGGTAACCAGGAAGTGATCCATCCCTCCCAACTTCAGATAAGAAGTCATTCAAGCCACCTGGATAACACACACAGTTATCTTCCATTGACTTTCCTGTTTTATTGTTTTTAGTTGAGTGTATAAAAAACTAAATAGAAACCTTTTTCTTACCTTGTTTGGCATCTTTCCTTTGAGGTCCATGGCAAGTTTCAACATATGGTTATTGGTTTTGCCAGGAAACAGTATTTTTCCTGTATAAAGTTCATATAACGTGCAGCCTACAGACCACATATCTATACCGTAGTCATAGATTTTGCCTATAACTGAAACAGAAAAGTTTTCTTATTTAATCAGTTAATATCACAAAACCAGGTATAAACATATATTACAAGAGCAAACAGATATTGAAACCCTGGATTTAGGAGATACTTTAAGAGTCATATTCTTAAAAACAGTAAAGTGCAAAAGAAAGAGGATGAAAAGTCTGTCTACTTCCCCCTCACAGTGGGCTTTAACTGCAACCTTCCCTTGCCAAAAATTTTTTAAAAAAAATGAAAATTGCCCTTCACCCCTAGAATGGTCATTTGAGTTTCTGCTCATCAAAATCTGCCTCTGCAACATCCCAAATGTCTGCCAGAGTAGAATCAACAAAAAGTGTCTCAAGCTCTCTTTCACTAGATGCTAGTGTGTTCTGCTACTTCTAAATCATTGGATTGGCTACATTAAGATTAGAGTTTTAACACTGATTTTAATTTTTAAAACCAGAGTTGAAGCAAGAACAGTTAAATCTATGTTCTGAATACATATGACCATATATAATAATCACCATTCAAGTATTTAGATAATTTAAATGCACAGAGAAACATGTCAGATGAACTTACTAATTTCAGGAGCTCGATAAAATCTACTGACAAGATACGGTGTGATGTCATTATCGGCAACATGTGAAGCTGATCCAAAATCACAAAGTTTTAATATAGTTTTAGATTCGTTCACCTGCAAATTAAATAAAAACTTTACTGGCATACTGACAGTACATAGATTGTCACAGACGCTGAGACAGTACATAAACTGTCATACACCAGCAACAAAACAATATCAAATCATCCAGTAATCCCTTAACTAACTTTAATATTTGTTCACCGCACTATCTTGGTGCCTTGAATTCTAGGGAAACTGTAATATCTTCTTAACCTGGAAATGACAATGAATGGCACTACATTGTAACAGCTACTGAATTTAAAATTCATTTTTATGATCAATTTGACTAATTTTACAATTGTTTAGAGAGACTATTAAATAACATTTCCAAATGTGTATTTTCTATCTATTTGTATCAAATGCATGAGCCCAATAAAAATGAGCTAACATGACTGACCCAAAATATTAAAACCATGGACAAATGTGTCAAACACCTGTGTGTTCAACTGTTTTTAATATTTCTTCAATATACACACAGTAAGGATGACACCTGGTGAAAAAAGATGGACTCTGCTCTCCCAGGCATCAATTCAAGAGCCAGAACACTGGGCAGGCATAACAACTGAAGATTACTTAGATTCCAGTGTCTCTTTCCCCTTCGAAAGAAACATGTACACAAATTCTGTGCCCCACATACAGAACCAACATACATTTCAAATGGTAGCATAGTCCTACTCACCCTTCCACCAGTCAGGGAAATGGTTCTTCCTTGCCACATTTGCCCTGATCAAAAGTTGATTATATAGAAAGCCCTGAGGAGCCCCTAAATGTTCGCCAATCTACCACTCTAGAGCACAGTCTCTCAACCTTAGGTCCTGACCCAAAAAGAGGCCACAAGGCTACTGGAGAGGGGGTCACAACATCCCCTTTTTCCGTGCCTTACAGCTAGGCAGCCAAAGAGCAGAGGCTGCTAGCTGGCTGCCCAGCTCTGAAGGTAGTACTGTTAACAGCAGCGGAGCAGAAGAAAGAGGAGGGAAATGGTATTGTTTACAGATGTTAGCGACAAGTCAACTGTCTGATAAGCGTAAGTGTATCGGACAGTCTACTAGTGATGCAACTAGTTGCTTCCCCATCACCTCAGAGAGAGGCAGCAAGGAGGGAGCAAGAGCCGGTGCTAAGGAGAGATGGCTTAAAAGCCAGTCTAGGGCTCTTGTACTTCTCAAAATCTGAGGTGCTGCAGGGAGTGTGGAGCCAGCGGGGGAGTTCCCCACTGGCCCCGTGCCCCCTGCAGAGCTTCCACTTTTGAACTGGAGGGCTCCCTTATAGACTAATCAAATAGTCGATGGAAATCACATTGACTATTCGATTAATTAATCTAAATTTAACATCCCTAGTACTGTTACTTAGCTCGGTTGGGATCTGCACTGATCCCATGAAATTTATGTCCAGTACCAAGAGTGAGGTGGAGAAGCCCAAAATATTTTCAAATTGGGAGCCCATCAAAAAAAGTTTCGAAATCCGTGTTCCAGATTAGCAGCTTGCACAGAAGTGTAAACATCCTCTGTCGGAAGATCAGTCCAGAATGCGCTCATGTAATAAAAGTACATAATTTTCCATTCAGAGCCCAAGTGATTCACCTCTGCAATGTATCCAAGTTCCAATGATCCCAAGGAAAGAGCAACCAAAGGTCACTTCCTTACCTGGATAGCATGATCTACAGCATTCAGCTCTGCTGCCAAACCAAAGAGCTAGCTAAAATTCTTACACTCTAAATCAGGTATTCATACATCAACCACGTCAATAACAACACTGCTCATCAAAATTAGTAGTTATTAGCCAATCAATATTCCATAATTCAGGTAATTTTTCTGATAAAAGATTCCTATAGCTGGAAACATATAGTCTCTATTGTTCAAGTTGTATATAGAGAAAAGTGTTCATTTTGTATGTAACACTATATTTAGAATCTTTAATATGAAAAAATATTCCCATTGGACATGCACATTAAAGTAGTCAGCAAACATATTATTTCGCTATTTGTTATTAATCAGCTTTCACAAGTTGAGCAGGTATTTGCTTTTCACACAAATTTAAATGTGAGACCTTATTGCACTCCAGAGTTTAACTTTGCAGTCATTTGTCCTTGTACTTTTCTGATGGCTAGATTTTCTCTAAGAAAAAGAGGGTAGGGTTCCAACATTTATATATATAAAAAAGCAAAATTATAAATTGAGCAAGAACTTCTACTATGACTAAACAAAAACCATCAAAGGGGAAGAGTATACAAGACTTTGTCAAGTTGTATTCAGAAATATTTGCAAAAGCTGGAGGTGACTCTGAATCAACTGATGATATCATCAAAAAGGTGAGAACTTTATTTTTCTGTTTGAACACATTGTCTTACATATGTGTAAATGGATGGATACCATATAAAGGATTCTATCAAAATGAGAATCATCCTTATGGCTGGCATCACTGTAGTTATAGGTAAGCTGCAATTTGTAGGGGTTGCTGACCATTCATAAAAGGACATTGCTGCTCTTTTTTAATTGATACTCAGATGAGAATTGATGCCTTAAGATTTTTCGTAATTTGATTTCCTTTTTTGAAAGGGTACACTTAAAGCTTCTTTTGCAGAAGAATTGAAAAACAAAATGATTATTTCAAGATCCCTTAGGCAGAAGCCTTTTTTTCCCCCCCACAGAGACCTCTTAAGATTTAGCGTGAATAGCCAAATAGTAGTTTTAAAATATTTGCACAGTAGTATTCTTACTCACTTGGGCAATTTTTAAAAAATATTGTAATTATGTTGTATATGGAAATCTCTGTCAGTCATTGAGTAAATAGAAAATTTTAGAAATAGAAAAAAATATATCTTATGTTCTTGCCTGCTCACTGTTTCTCAGACGCATCTATTTGGGTAAGATGATTTTAAAGGTTATACCTCCCAAATCTGGAATTCTTTCATCCAGCAACTTTTGTGGTCTGGTGTGACCATGGATGTTCCTGGATGAGAGAGTCCCAGGGCAGGAGGATCAGCAGCTGGGAGCCCAGTGCAACACTGCCAGTCTACTAGCAGCAGGGCTGCAGCAGCCTGGGAGAAGAGCGACTGGGGATGTCTGCTGTCCGGCAGTGCGGCATGGACCACAGCAGCCCAAGAGGGGAAGTCTGGCCAGGCCGCAGCAGCTTGGGCAGCGGCGGAAGTGCGATTGGGGCTGCCTGCTGCCTAGCATTGGGGCTGATGTTGCAACCATGGCAGCCTGGGATAGGAAGATGGCCACAGCAGCCTGGCAGAATCAGCACAGCTGGGGCTACGTGCCATGCAGCAGCACGGCTGGGGCTGCTGCAGCGCAGCGAGCTGGCAGCAGAGCTAGGGCTGGCCTGCAGACAGCCCAGCAATACTGAAGGAGCCATCAGCGAGGAGGGGCAACGGACTGAAAGGCTGGTATCAGGGAACCTCCCCTTGTCCAGCAAATTCTCTCATCCGGATCCAGTAAGGTCATGAGGGTGCCGGACAAGAGAGGTTCAGCCTGTACAATGCCGCCTGTTAAATTTGTTACAGATTATTTCAATCATGCTAACAAAAGGAGATATAATCAGGGAGGGGGAAAAAAAATCTACTCATTCTGTGATTGGACAGACTACAAATTAGTTAAACTAAACTCTAACTTTGTGGAGAACATGGAAGAAAGTCCTAATTTAACCTTAAAATGTATACTATAATTTATCAATCTGAGCACTTAAACTGGTTTCTGAATACTTGTTTGGATCACTAGGCTACGTCTATATTGGCAAGTCAGTGTCAAAACTTGTGATGTTCAGAATTGCTAACCACTCCCTCCCAACTCAAAGAACATTGTTGCGACAAGTGCCACCATGAATAGCAGATAGCACATTGTTGGCAGGAGTGGTCTCCTGTCAACAACATGAATGCCGCTCGTTGGGAGTGGATGTATTTTATTTGCAAGAGATCTGATAAAAAGCAGCTACACTGCCCCTCTTTTAGACAAAGTTTTTGGACCTATTCCATTTAACTTAGTCCTCTGAATTATTGCGAGTCTTTATAATGCTATTATAAGAAAGGTTTCTAAGCACTCAAATTAGTTCTTAGTTGATGCTTTCAAGAGAACAGAGGGAAGCAATCCATCATTTCAAATTAGTCAAGACTTCTTACCTTAGATAACATTAAGGGAACGATGTAGACTTCCTTCAGGGGATTCTAACTCAATATATTTGATTTTTTTAAATGTATTTGAGGAAAGCCAAGTTACTTTAACACAGTTCCGACAAAGTGAGATGATATATCTATACTACAGTCGGTTTAGAAAAGATTAATCTCTTTCAAGAGTAAATTAAACAAGATAATTAGGCAAACTAGCTTTTCCATGTATGTGAGCTTCAGAATTGGGAGGGGAGAACCAAATTAACTCTGGCTGTGCCTTAGGGTTTGTCTCCACTTATAGCGCTGCTCTAGTGCCTAGTGAAGTCACTACCTCTGCTGATGGGAGATAGCTTCTCTTATTAGCAAAGGCACTCCACTCCACCTCCCCTGAGAAGCTGTGGCTACGTCAACCACAGAAGCCCTCCCGTCAACACTGCAGTCTCTACACTGGGGGTACACTGGTATAGCTACCTCTCTTAGGGCTTATCTACACTAGGAAATAATTTCAAAATAACTAACATTGAAATTATAACTCCCTAAATAGCAAAATCAAAATAGCATGTCTCCACTACAGGGAAGCCTCAAAATTAGCCCAAGGCAGTTATTGTGAATGTGTGACCTCGACTTAGAGAATAGTTATTTTGAAATAGCAGCAGAGCTTCTACACTAACACTATTTCAAAATAAGAGTTATTCCTGGAGGAAAGCAGGAGTACAGATTTTGAAATAACCAGCCCATTATTTCAAAATAATCGGCTTATTATTTTGAAGTAACTCCTCAGAGCAGATCAGGGTTTAGGGATTTTCCACACCCCTGAATGACACTTATATTGACAAAAGTTTGTAGTGCAGATTGGTGGCTTTCAACATTTGATCCATGGGGAATCTACAGCATATATCTAAGGTTTCCAAAGAGGTCTGGCACCTCCATTTGAAATTTTTTAGGGGTCTGCAAATGAAAAAAAGTTGAAAACCACTGGTACAGACCAAACTTAAGTTAACTTGATCATTAAAAAGAGCTTTTTAACAGTTTTTTTTTAAACCGAAGCAGAGCCATATTGGTGACTGGTAGGGATGTAAAATCCAGATTAATGGGTTGGCAAGTTAAACATTAGGTTAATTTAACATTTAATTGGTTAACTGACTAATCAGGACTCCCCTCAACCCTGTGCAGAACTGGCTGCCAATTCCCAGGTGATGTTTACCAGGTAACTGATTAATTGGTTATCCATTCACATCCCTAGTTACTGGAGGCTTCAAAGGAATTATACTACATACAAATTTGGCCCTCTCAAAAAAGATTAAATATATCCTTTGAGTCATGGTGATTTGCACAAAGCTCAAGAGTAGAATGTTTTTACTTACTAAACTTTCAGATACTGAACAAATAATAGACTTATTGTTCCACTCAGCATCCCCTCCATGAAAAATAAGCTCACTTCTAAATCTACTTATTTCTGCCCCTTTCTTAATTTTGTTTCTCTACATTCCCATTCTTTTACTCTATTCCTTTCTACCCACTGCATTTCCCTCCATACAGCAGTTCCAAATTCCCACTTTGTGAGTTTCATTCTAATCCCCTCCCATCTACTAAAGTGACCAGCATTTAAATAATTAATGTTAATATTTCAAACACCAGGATTATGCTTTAGAGCAGTGGTTCTCAAACTTCAGAGGGGTAGCCATGTTAGTCTATTTCAGCAAAAACAATGAGGAGTCCTGTGGCATCTTAAAGATTAACAAATTTATTTGGGCATAAGCTTTTGAGGGCTGGAATTCACTTTGTCAGTTGAAAGAAATGGTAACTATTGTTTAGCAGCAATATATGCAGAGATACTAAGATGGGAGTGTTTCTATTCAGTTGAAAGTTGCCAGACTCCAGCAACAAAACCAGACTGCAGCATTAATTTGCAGAGCTGAAATTATTATGCCAACTTGACACTATCACACTGGGTCTGAAAACAGGAGTGGATAGCTCACTATAAAAAGTAATTTTCTCCCTTTTGGTATTCTCACCACCTCATCAACTGTTGGGAATTGGCTTCTTCCACCCAACTGAATTTGCATCATTAGCTTTGGTCCTCCACATAGAAATGTAACTCTTGCCATCTTTACATATGCGTATATATCACTGGCAAGCTGTAGTTTCCACTTCATGCAGCTGATAAAGTGGTTCTCAAAACTGTGGGTCAGGACCCCAAAATGGGTCACAATCCCATTTTAATGTGGTCATCAGGGTTGGTATTAAACGTTGTAGGGCCCAAGACTGAAGCCAAAAGACAAGCTCAACTGTCCGGGTCCAAAGCTACAGCACTTCAGCCTTGAGTAATGGGGTTCAGGTTACAGACCTCACTGCCTGAGGCCAAAGCCCTTGGGTTTCAGCTTTGCTCCCCCCACTCCTTCCCAATCCAGGGCAATGTGGCTTGGGTGAACTCAGGCTTTGGTGCAGCCCTGCCCTGGGATCATGCAGCATTTTTTGTTGTTAGAAGGGGGTTGCGGTGTAGTGAAGTTTGAGAGCCCTTATTTTAGCGTTAACACTGCAAAAAGAATAAAGAAGAATAATGGGAATTAATGGATCTCAGATACGGATTCAAACTGATGTCCACTCAAAAGACAATTAATTGCTTATACTAGGTTCATATTTAGGTTATTTTCACAACCAGGAAGACTAAAAACTTACAATTTAAGCAACTGACTCTTCAGACTCTGTAGGATTTGAATCTGTCATCTAGCTCACAAATACATGAAGTGAACCAGAAGCAACCCACATTGTGATGTTTAACTCTCATTACAATGATTATCCTCTGCTGCAAGGGTACAGGTAAGAAAGTATAAGGAGTCTTTCCCTCTCATGTCATATAAACAAAAATCCTCATCTCAATTTAGAGCCAGCTAGCATGCTTGGTTCTTGCAGCAGACATGTCTTTGTTAGCGCCACACACACACACACACACACACACACACACACACACACACACACACACACACACACCTTTTCTACCATTATCTCAAAAGAAGTCAAAATCTTCCCTCTCCAAAAGGATGCTTCCTTGCTTTGCAAGACTGAAGCCCTCTTTTTAAAGAGATATGAGCATAACATGAAGGGGAAAGTATGAGCAGTGGCTATATTGGTTTGAAGGCTAAAACCCCAGGATACTAGGTTATGTTTAGTGTTAAAGCTTTTTAATTAGAAGCAGAGAATATCTACCGTGTTAGTTATTTTCTTACTAGCTGGAGTTACCCAGCATTGCTCGGGGCGGGCGGTGGGATCCTGCCAGGGGTGCCCCGTGTAATGGGCAGGCGGAAGGGGGTGAGCACGGGACCTACAGTGGGCGGAGCGGCCCAGCTCCTGCCTGGGGTTGCAGGTACCACGGGGGGCAATAACCCCACCACCTACCCTGAAACTTTCAACCCGTTACTTGCCGCACAATGGGACTGCACCAGAGGCTCCCCTTTCCCGCAGTGAGCAGGTGCCGGACTCCGGGCCGCTCCCAGCACCGCTGCTGCTACCTCCCTGCTGGGCTCACCTCACTGCGCCCGCAACCGCCTCCTACTGGCGGCCGTGAGCTCTCCAGCCCACCGCTCAGCAACCCTCGGCCACCACCGGAGGGCAGAGGCCTGGGCCGAGTGACATCATGGGCGGGAGGGAGCTCCCCCGCACCGGATGTACCTGTTCAGTGGAACGGCCTGGTAGAGGCGAGTGGGGCAGCTGCCACGCGGAGCACTGCCCCTCCCCTCGCACCTTCGCCACTGGCTTTAGTGAGTGACTGTCCCCGCCGCTTCCCCCGGGAAGCCGCTTCTCCCCACACTGCCAAAAGTACCTTAAAACCTTCTCCTGAAGGAAAGGTTATCCCATGCAAAGTTTGGTTGTGGTAGGTCTTATAGTGCCCAAGTTACTAGCACACAAACATACAAACATTCGCCTTTATATATTAGATTTACTATTTGTACCACGATGATTATATTTTGTCCTAATATTAAATCAGAAGCTTCTTTTCAGAGGAAAAGATGACAGAATTTGGATTCTGAAAAGGTATTACAGGTTGTACCTCCCTCGTCCAGCACCCTTGCAACCTGAGTAGTTTTGAACCAGGGAATTTGGCAGATGGAGTGGGGAAGTGAATCAATGCAGCAGGGGCTCTAATTTCCTCAGGCAGCTCCACTGCCACCAAGGCTCTCCCCACAGAGCGAGGGAAGGGGGGAACTCTACTCCCCCGCTCCACTTTGCTGCAACCCAGGGTTCTCCTCTCCCTGCAGTGGCCATGAACTCCACTGTAGTCTGGAGCTCCTCTCTGCCCAGCGTTTCCACACTCCCCCCAGCACTCTGTTGCCATCTGGGGCTTTGCACTGCACCGAGCAGCTTTGTTGCTGTCCAGCGGGCTCCATTAAAAGCAGCTCCACCGCTGCCCAGAGCGCTCCACACTCCAAACGGCTCTGCTGCCACTTGGGGGAAGGGGGCTCCGTGCTCCTCCTTTGGCTCTGCACTTTCCTCCCCTGCACCTCTGCTATGATCTGGGAGGCTGTTCTTCCCTCCAGCAGCCATGCTGCTGCCCTCCCTCCAGTGAAGAGAGAGCTCCGTTTCCCTGCTCGGGAGATCAGGAGCTCTACATTCCTACCAGTGACTCTGCTGCCCCCAGTGCTCCATCTAGGCCTCCTAATTTAGCAATGCTCTTGGCCCCAGCCCAGGGGCTTATCCCCATGAGTACTCATACAGATGATGCTTGACCAGGGATGTTGCCAGAAAAGGGAAGCCCGGATTAGGGAGTGTTAACCTGAACCTAAATTTAAACACATGTATTTTGTACAGGCTGTCTTAAAGTGTGAAATATTACTTACCAAAATATTGTCTGGTTTAATATCAGCATGTAGGATGTTACATCTTTTAAGCAGTTTTAATGCCAGGAACAACTGCTGGCTGTAGGATCGTACAGCTTTAATGTGAAGACCGACATCCTTTCCATACTTTTTCAGTACCTCTCGTAAATTCATACTATTTATGTACATAAAAATTATGGGAAATTAAACAAAGAATAACGTATTCCTAGTTTAAACATCAATTTTAATGTACAAAATCCAATTCTCTTTTAGGCATTAGGAAAAAATTACCCAAACCAGACCAACTTGAAATATATTCTTTGCCATCAGGCCATATACTAAAATAGAAAATTCAGCCAATCAGACCAACAGATGCTATACAATTACTGACATGACCGTGCTTATCTACAGTGATGGAAGAAGCTGTATAACTGACATTGTCATTTTAAGTAGATTTAAACAGTGTGTTCTCGTCTTTGTATCTGTGAAAGTTGGTTCTAGATGTTTTTGAATTCTATGCCTTAAGAAGTTTACTGACGTATAAAAAGCGGAATGTAAAAAAATCCAAATATAAAGAAAAAATTCAAGCTAAGAGTACAAAACATTAAAATGCACTTAAATCTACTTTTCATTTTTATACACAATTCAGGAAATATTCAATTTACCTGAGTGGTTCAAATACCAGACAGAGGTGCTGTTTGTGATAAAAATGCCTGAACAATCGCAAACAATGAAATTTGTCATCAGGATCTGCATCATTGAGCTTCTTCAAAAATTCCAGTTCTTTGAGACCAGTTTTTTGCCTAAAACAAAAAACATTTTTTACTCCGAACTTACTGAATTTCTACACTTCACATCCAACATAAGCATCAAGTTAGCTTGCTCTCAAAACGTTAGGAAGGCAGTAACAGTCTTATGATTAACACAGCAGTGATCTTTAATTTCACAGTATTTCAACTGCACTGGATAATATTGTTCATTGTAACATTTACAGTACACAACTTGGGTCACTATTTCTCAAGAGAGCTGAAAATTTATTTTCCATGTAGGTCAAAAGTCTTATTCCGCTACTATCAAATATTTATAAGTAATAAGATTATTATTAGCCCCAACTTTCAAAATTAGATTACTAGTGCTGTAAATCACATTATTTTACTATTTAACAAAACATTACTTACATAAGTTCATTATTCCTGATTATTTTGACAGCTACTTCTTGGTTTGCTCTCGCCATATCTCTGGCTCGCACTACATTACTGAAAACTCCCTGGCCAGTGTAACCATAAACATTGTAACGTTTATCTAGAACTTCACCTATGTTAACACCTAGGAAAGAAAATGAAGAGGGAAATCAGATAAACTGAACTAAGTACATACACAGAATAATTGACCACAAGAAAACTTTTTCTGCATGATTCTGAAAGTAACAAGGATACACAGTATAGTAACTTAATTATTGTCTCAAGTCTACAGTGCTTTGTACCTAGCTTTGCGGAAATTGTGGGGAACTGAAACTGTGCTTCCTTTGGTCAGGAATCTTTTCATAAACGCCATTAGAAGTTTCATGCCCATTTCACCTCATTACAATAAATATTTCTGTTGGTCTTTATTAACTGCTGATGAGTTTAATATCGAGTAGTGAAGAAATGTGCTCACTGAAGTGCTTCCATTCTGAGTCCTGGGTGACAACTATAGCACGATAGGCATCAAGGTTCTTTGAATGCTGTTTTTCTTGGTTTCAGATCATGGCAAGCGTGCTGACGTAACCCTTCCTTCTGGAGGGAGATCTCATGGCTGTAAATAACTTTGGATAGGTTTTAATTTTAATTTGACTATTAGATTCTATAATACACCTGTGAGCTGCTTGACAGAGCACTATAGTGCAGGAACATGCAGTGGTTTTGGACGAGCCACACTACGTGATGGCATTGTGGTATGCAATTGCAAGATAATTCCACAGAGCTTTTCCATGAGGTGCTTTTACATTTAGTAACTCTATTTTAGACAATAATATAAATTAAGTTAGGATCAAATACTTACGATAATAGCCTTCAGCATCAGTCCAGTTATCCCTGAGGTTGGGATTTTCTTTGAAGTCTTTTCCAAAGCCAGCAGCTCTAAGACGAGCACTCTGAAATGAAGTGGACAATTGGCTTTTCTTTTGTATTTAAAATGCATGTTTATACATAAGAAAATAACACTTACTTATGAAAACCAGAAATCCATTCAATTATCTATCATCTCATTCCTAACAATGTTGTTTTAATTGTTACCATAAGTAAAACTGAGTAAATCATTAGTCACACACACACACACACACACACACACACACACACACACACACACACGACTTGTTCTCTCCCAGCTTCTTGGAAAGTTTAAATAGCAAAATGCTACAGTGTTATATTAAAGTAAAATATTTTACCAAAAAATGCTATAGTATATGTTTGAGTAAATTATTAAAAACAATAATAGTCAAAATAATAAAAGGATATTGAGGCTATAGTATGCTTTTTTGTTCATTTGCTTCTTATTTCACAGGGTAAATTAATAAAGTCCTGCAAATCCACATATAACCGCCTTATATGCACGGCTATACGCAGCTCAATTTTGCAGATATGGATGCAGATACACATTTTCTAGCTAGAACCCTTCAAATTTGCGGCTATCCACTTTCTATCTGCAGGTACTCATATCCACGGCGCATTTTTTTGGATACAGACACAGATACAGCTCTATACATTAATTATTCATAGTAGATATTACTGTGAATTAAGAGATAACTACAAGCAACATATCATCAATATCAGTGAGGCATTTCCAACGCAGAAATTGTCACCCATTTATAAATGGTTTTAAATTAAATATAAAATACTTTTTTATATTTTATTTTTTATCTCTATTGTTTACCTCAGGATTGTAAAAGCTTGAAACTAAAAATATTTACCTACCCATTTTACTTTTTTCATTTTAAAGGGCTTTACTTTGTTGTTAATGGAGTGGCACTGCAATGGCTTTTTGTTATCCCTCTGTTTGTGATGTCACTTACAATTAAAGAATGACATTTGATATTAATCATTAATTAGATTATTTTTATGTTTTATTTCCTTAAAAGAAAAACATCTTTGATGCATTTTGGGGATGTTTGCATGTAAATGAATGAGCCATTGTACATACATGTAAACACAATGTTTTCAAAGACCCAAATATCCCAAGGACTAGAGTGATGTTAGCTATATGAGAGGCTGTGACAAAGTGCACTTTGATAAGTTAAGCAGCAATTAGTTGTCATGCCTCTCAAAAAGAGTGGAACATTTATTTGATCAAACCTGGGAAGTTAATTTTGCCATTAGCGAGAGGACAGTTATAAAACAATGGAAGAAAATGAAAGAGGAAGCAGCTAGCAGAGCCCAGAGGACATGAGATAGTGTGGTCAGATATCGCTCTCCCTCTTCCCTTGGAGAAAAGGGCTAAGGACTAGGGAAAACTACAGACAGAGTTGCTACACAAGATCATGATGGAGGTTTAGTGGAGGTAATAGAAATAAAACTCACCATGGTGGTAAAGAACAGAAAAGCATCCAGCACGGTGGCTGTCTCTACACTGGGCCACTTATTCCAGAAAATTAGCTGCTTTTCCAGAATAAGCTGCGAGCTGTCTACACTGGCCCTTGAATTTCCAGAAAAGCAACGACTCTCTTCTGTACAAAATCAGCCGCTATTCCGGAAAAACTATTCTGCTCCTGCTCGGGCATAAGTCCTTATTCCGGAACACTGTTCCGGAAAAGGGCCAGTGTAGACAGCCCAGTAGTCTTTTCCGGAAAAAAGCCCCGATCGCGAAAATGGTGATCAGGGCTCTTTTCCGGAAAAGCGCGTCTACATTGGCCACAAACGCTTTTCCGGAAAAGCAGCCTGACAATGTAGACGCTCCTTTTCCGGAAAAACTGAAAACGGAATAGTATTCCATTTTAAGCAGTTCCGGAAATTCATGCCAGTGTAGACACAGCCTATTTGTGTGAGATCTCAGGTTAGGAGATGAGCCTGCCTTATTACAGAGGCACACATCTCCCATTCAAAAATAGTAAACCATCAGGGCAATCCAAGACAACAGCATACATGAAAGAAGGTAGGATGCTAAGTGTCACTTAAAGTATGTCATGATGATTATGAGAAAATAAATAAAGCATCCTAAGTCTATAAAGAAAACAAAGTAATTGTAGATTCAAAAAATGCTGTAGGATTTAGTTACAGACAATGCCGTAACTACAATAATAACTACAAAAAGGTCTGGGACTAACAATTGTGTCACCCTTTTTCATATGGTGACAGTTACCAAGATGCCTACTACATTTCCCTATTTGTATGACAAATCTACAGTCCTGTTTATGACATTTTTGTACAAATTCTAGGAGTAGCTTTTTTTTCCCTTTTGTAACTTTGTGCTTTCTCTACAAAGACAACAGGCAAAAATCCCCCAGTGTTTATCTAGGGAAAACTCCCACTGACTTCAGTGAAGGACTGGCTCAATGGACTTCTAATGAATGCTTTCAGAAGACATTATGCACCTGATTTTACAAATTTTAGGTGAGTCAAAATTCAGGCATAAACAATTTGATAGTGTCTTGTTAATAACACAGCAACAAAAAAAATAATGTGGAGGAATTATCTTTCTAAAATTACTTACATCAAAGTATGCAGCAAACATATCATCCGATTCTGTGAACATGTCAGGAGCTAAGAGCTTCTTTTGAGCTGAGCCTTAAAAGAAAATGTATGTTATTCAACTTAAAACTGAAGAAATGGGTGTGTTAGCAGTTATCTTCTCTATATAAAGAATCTACATTATGTACCATTAAGCGTATTCACTAGTTATAAAAGAGAGGCACCAGACACTTCTATTGCCATTTCTCCTGGATTATGTTGGTTTATTGTCTATTCTTTTGCATAATCAGTCTGTTTAAAAATGCAGAGAGCTTGAAATATTTCAGTTGCTTTAAAAAAACAAATCTCTCTATTGAAGACTTATCTGTAAAGGCTTTCCAACTACTTCCACTTTCTCTAACTGTATTTTCTTTATTTTTATATTGTATATTTCATATTTTAATTTAGTATTTTAATAGTTTGTGTAGCACACAAAGTGTGCCTTGCCAGGGTGCCTTCTAAAAATTACATTGTGGACCTCCCTGGTCCGGCAAATAAGAGAATGTGTCAGACCAGGGGAGGCCCTTGCCTCCAAGCCCATTGCCAGCTGCTGGCAGGCTCTCTCAAGAGCTCCCTGCCTTGTTCTTCCCACCCTCTACCCCCAATCTGGCTGAGCTGCTCACCCAGCTGCTGGCTCCCTGGGCAGCCCAGGCACTGGCCCTGCTTGCCATGGGCTGCTGAGGGGCCCCAGCCCCGCACTCCTGGGTGCTGTCAGGGGACTCCAGCCCTGTGCTGCTGCGGAGTTCTGGCCTCAGCCCCACTCTCCCAAGAGATGGTGTGGAGCTCTGGTCCAATGTTGCCATGGGCTTCTGGGGGATTCCAGCCCCGGACCCAACCTGTTGCCCCTGATCTCAGTTGGCCCTCCTGCCATTGGACTTCCGGGATCTCTGGTCAGGAGCATCTGTGGTATTGCTGGACCAGAGTGTGCTGGTTTTGGGAGGTGAAACCTGTATTAAAACTAAGCACCCTCCATTTAGCAAACTGACAATTTGGTGGGTTTTTCAGAGTTGAGATGAGATTATTCTTGTTATGTACATATAATTCCTACATTTTTGTACCACAATAAATAATATTTGGCAGATTTACACACAGTTCTAGAAAAATATATTTTGTTATCCAATTGTTACGAAAAAAATCAAGCTTAAAAGCCAACTCCTTGGAAGCACCGTCTCCTATCTGCCTTCCTCGCTGTCCCCTTTTCTCCCTCATCGCTGTTTCCTCTAATTCAGGGGACTGCATGTCATTGCATACACATTTACACTTTCACATCTCTAGATTCTTCTGCCTTTGTTACATCAATTAAAACATTCACACATCTATGCACATTCATCAATGATAATGACGACTAAAATGAAAATAAGTCACGGTTTGCCAAATAGAAAAGGGAAAAAAAAAATTAGTAGGAAAATTATTTGCGATCTTCCAGAAAAGAGTTACATATCAAAAATATATTAAACTAAGATAAATTCACAGTTCCTTCTTAAATACAAAGGAAGACATTAATGTCTTTTGCAGCACTGGCTGTTTAAATGGCAATTAAGGACATCTCCCATTTACATCACCTATTCACAAAGTGTTTTATTTTAACAATTTAATTATTTAACTTTCTGAATTTTTTTCAGCACTGTCTATGAATTAACTTTTTTCACAAATCTGAAATTATGATACTCATGAACCTCCATATTCCAGGTGTCCATAATTAGGGAATGTCCGCAGTACAGACCCTGGCAGGCAGAGGAGAAGCAGCTCTGTGTGCTACTGTTCTCCCTTTCACCCAGCTGGGGGAACAGCAGCACAGCAATATGCTTCCCAAGGTGCTACTCAGAGGGGGGGGAGCGGGGTGGAGGTGGGGTTGGGGGGTAGGGAGAGTGCCTTGGAGCAGCAGAGAGCCACACATGCACCCAAGAGTTGCTGGATTAAAGAGGTTCAAGTTTACTAATAAAACTGAACAAAAGATGCCTGCAAAGCATATTAGGCATTTCATTTCAAATTGCATACAGAAATTTCAGATTCTTACCATTATTCTGTTCAACTGTCATGAGGTTGTGTTTGGCTTTTACAGAGGCCTCAAACGTATCAACATTTTCCCGTTCATACTCTTTAACATCAGCAGCTACACGTTCTAGAATGTCATCTGGTGAATTTGAACGACTACGTGTGCTGCTCTGCGGACTGCTTGGTTCAGATGGCACAGACATGTTACTGTCTTCAGTCAGGTACTTGTATTTCTGCAAAGAAACTTTATGAAGTTATTTTCAACATAGTGGCTTGTCCCAATTTAATTTTACTGTGTATTTTGGGGCATACATTTTCCTGAATCTAACTAGCTCATTCTAGATCTTACTTCATAGTGTTAATCAAATTGTACAGTATGTTAGCTACAGGATACAGAAAGAAACAAGTCTTGTCTTCTTGAGAAACACATTACAGTCCAAATCTTCAAGTTTGATTTGTAATACTTAAAAAATACCTTTTTAGACATTTTGATTTATTGATAAAACCTTTGTTAAAAACTGATTTACTGCTTAAGCAAAAAGATAGGACCTGACCATGTATATCAAAACGTCATACTTGAGAAGTTAAATACTAATATTCTGATGGATGAGAAGTGAACTCATACTTCAAAGAAAAAAAAACACAAGAGTTTTGCAATATACAGGTTGAAACTCTCTAGTCTGGCTATATTCATGGTCTAGCATGATTTTAGTTAGCAGAATGTTCACTTATGGATATGGCCAAGTTTCCCATAGTCCCATAAAACTTGTTTACAGCCACCAGCCCTGGATCTCAGTATTCTGAGCTGTAATTTAGCTCTAATTTACCCCTAAATGTTTCTTAAGAGCCTAGTATGCAGCGGAAGTGTGTTGGTAATGCTGCTAGACAATATTTACCTTCTGTGGCACTGGTCAAGCCCCGAGGGTGCCAGACTAGAGAGATTAAATCTGTACATTTAGCACTCTATATTAGTTTGAAAGTGTAGAAATCTCAAAGTGTTGTTTTCAATTTTAGTATTTGAATTGAAGAATCTGTTAGTTCCCTGTAGTCATTTTACATTATTTCAGTACTAATATAAAAATATACCACAAAGATAAAGTTTTGTAATTTATTTCTGCTCCCCTAAATCATACGGGGCCCAATTAAATAACTGATATCCTCTTACTTTATGCTGTCCTAAATTAAAAACAATGTAGGTGCATGTTGGTGTCAGATCCTGAGGTTATAGTCTCTAAGATTAGTAGCAGAGCCTTTTTAGTTAAGGGCAATGACCTTTGGAATTCTCTTCCTTTGGTGGGCCACGAGTATGAAATGAAATAGCCTTTGAATATGGTATCCAAGTATCTTTCACTCGTTTTTTCCCCTCATTTTGGGGGTTTGGCCAGTAAAATTTCTCAACATAGCACCAATGCATCATTATGTGTAACCGCACAGAATACAGGCAGTCCCCGGGTTACGTACAAGATAGGGACTATAGGTTTGTTCTTAAGTTGAATTTGTATGTAAGTCGGAACTGGTACATATTGTAGGGGAAACTCTAGCCAAACATTTCTCCAGAGCTCAGTTTTATTCTCTCACACCTCACTTCCCTCAGTCCTTTATTCTCAAGCTGAGGTGTATGCTGAGAAAAGCCGCTCCGTGTCTCCCTGGTCTGCTGGGGGAGGCGCTAGCTTCGCGTCTCCCTGGTCTGCTGGGGGGAAGCAGCTAATGCGGGGTTGCCTCACCCCATTTGTAAGTAGGGATCCGATGTAAGTCGGATCCATGTAACCCGGGGACTGCCTGTAGTAATATTACTAATTCTTACCAGCCATCTGTTAGCATCATTGCTTATTTTAATGGTTTAAAATATAAACAGTATGCTAATAATACAAAATTAATGCATACATGGTGCTTAACAATTTTACAACAAATTATACCAATTTTGCTAGCCTTTTTGAATGCTTACCTAGGACACAAACCTTTAAACTTTAAACGAAACTGACTTATCAGATTACAATCAATATTTCTGAGCCTTATCCTCCACAATACTCATTATTTTATCAGCAAAATACCATGGAAGACAAATTATAATTTTATCCTTCGATGCAATTACTTTATAATTTTATGGTCATTTAAAGCTACACAAAATCAAAAAAGCCAATGTGTCACCAAAAATGACTCATTTGGTATAGATTGCTTGTTTTAAAATAAGTGTATGCGCCAAAAATATAGGTTTCAACTAAGACAATATTTTTTACAGCCACACTGAAAAGTGAGTGACAGATTTTGGCAGCATTAGCTTTATTAATAGAAGTGTCAACTTGAAAAATGTCACGGTCTCCTATTTTATTTTAAAAGAAATAGTAAGACAAGAAAAGTTTACACTCTACATGCATAGACAATTTCAGTAGTCTGAGTGCTTTAATACGGTACCATACCTGGACAATTGCTTGTCTCTGCAATCTTCTCTGCTCTATCAGTGCTTCTTCATCTTCTTCTTCTACGTCAAAATCTTCAAGGCTATCAATAATAAAGTATTAAAATATTTGTATAGCACCATAAAAGTATATGGTTCTTTAGGTAACTTCGAAAAGATTTTCCCTGCCCTAGAGAGTTATAATCTGAAATTAAGAGCAAGAACACCTTGCCTCAAAATTCTTGGGAACAAGAACACATTTTTTAACACACAGGAATAAATATAAAAATCACTCGAGTCTCTTTAGCTTTACTACAGGTTCAATTGTCTGAGGCAAAGCAAAGGAAATTCCAGAATTAGTTTTCTGAACCTCCTTTCTGAGAAAATGTATGTTCTTTGGTGTACAGCAGTTCTCCAAAACCAGCCATATTTTTGGAGTTTAATGTATCCTCCCTACATATATCCACATTATTCATAATTTGAAAACTTATTGTATGAATATTCAGATGAGATACAACCTGGAACAGTGGTGCGATAAACCAGCAACTGAGGTGCAACAATGGTATCCAAAACAAAAGTATTTTTTGCTCAATTCCAAACACAGTACAACATAATTAGGACTATAGTTTATATTGTCTATGTTAATTTTATTATCTTAATGGGGTTCCCTTTGATCACAGCTACCAAAGGCCAATTTATTAAAAGATTTGTTTTGGTTTTGCCTGGCAAAACTTATTTTTTAAGAAATTATGAAGGTTGTACAACAGTAGCAGTAGATTGTAAGTCCTTAGTTTATACTGCATAGTGGGTAGATAACATATAAGCAAATTAATAATTCTTCTCCATTTGTAAGTTTTTTAACATATGATTAAACATCTAGTCTGTCTATTAGAAGGTTTTAATTTTACTTCCTATGCATGAAGTACTAGACTTTGTAATAGTGTAGAAACTATTTTTTTTAAAATCAGTGACACTTATGCACAGGTCAGATTAGTGTTATATGTGGCAATAATACCCAGCCTCCTATTATGAGAGAAAGAAGTTGCCTAAAAAGAAGTAGTGAAGATGAAGTCCACAAACAAGTCCTTGCCTCTGCACCAAAGAGGATGTTACAGCTCTTACCAACCATGTCATCAATCATAGGTTTGTCATATCTGACCCATCCAAAGACATATTTACTAGGCTACATGTACAAGAGTCTCTAGTGAGAACAGCATACAGTGGTGAAGGACCAATGGAGAGATCTCCGATTCCTATTGGACATGTAGGGTTTTCAGTCAGGTCAAAAAATCTAGCATCAAAACATCTGCTGACATGGGCAAGCAGACCAAGTCTAAATCTGACAGTGGAGAGACAGTCACAGCAGTGATCAGTCCAGAATTCGTTTTCTTCAGAAGCCTCTTCTTAGTTAGATGCACAGGTGGTATTTCAATACCTAATGTTTGTCACTCGATAAGATCTGTGCCTATGTCCTTCCATGCTAACAGAAACATAAGAACACGCAAAGCTGAACTGAACTTTCAGCTGATAACTTAACCTGAAAAAATACCTTTGCCAATAGTATTCAATAAAGAAATCACAGTGTATCTAAAAGATGCCATGGCTATGAAACAAACAATGGCTAAGGCATCCTGCAGCTCCATGGAAAAAGTTTTTAAATGTGGGCTCCAAAAGCAAGTCACCTGTAAAATTCTTCTCTGAACATGGTTCAAATGATGGAAGAGTCAGGGCCCTTGGTCAACATGAAAGAAAAGTTTTTTACACTGGCTTTGCATAAATGGACACAAAACACAGCTTTTAGTAATTTATTATCCCTGTTAATGGAATCAAATCTTTACTTGTTAGGACATGAGATACTAGAATTCAGGCCCATGGACCAGAGGGACAGGAGTGGGGAGGAAGCAGTTGCCCCAGGGCCTGGTGATTCAAAAGGGCCTGGGGCATGCAGGCGCCGCTCCTCTAAGAGCAGCAGCAGCCGGAGCTTTGGACCCTTTACATCGCCAACAGAGACTTGAACTGGCTGCCCCCAACCTCGCCCCTTCCTCCCAATGCCCTGCCCCTTCTGGGAGCCTGGAGTTTCCCCGCACACACACTTTGTCCAAGGGCCTGGCAAGTCTGTCAGCCCCTCCCTGCTAGAAATTCACTCTTACTTCTCATCAGATGAGGATTCCTGCTCAGCTTTCATGCCTTCAGAAAGACTTCCTTTAAACTTATCTTCCTTAACTTTGCTTCTACTCCTACGTCTACGACCACCACGTGATCTAGATCTCCTTCTAAGTCGAGATCTACTTCTCCGACCTCTATCCCTGTTGAACAGAAGAAATATACTGTAAGAAAGGAAAAATAGATACTTTAATTTGCTTATTAGGTTAGTCTTGATGTATGTCCAAATAATACTTAATTGATACTGAAATACATAAATGAGCACATCACACAAACTTTTAAAATAGTAAGCTTTAACAATTAAACTAACTTTAAGCACAATAATATCTGAAAGAGACTAAGACAGGGTTGGGCCTTACCATGAGGCAAACTAAGGCGGCTGCCTCAGGTCCCAGATTGAGGGGAAAGGGGGGGGACCACTAGGACCCAGAGCATAGAAAATTGTGTCTACTGCTGGTGAACATGTATTCTCTCTGCTCTAGATGCACAGAGATGGTGAAGCGCTGTGCTGGAGGAAGGAGGGCACAAGACACATAGGCAGGCAGGCAGGCAGAAGAAAAATTGGCATTTGAGCTCCCCACCTCAGGTGCCAAAACGTTGTGGGCCGGCCCTGGGCTAAGATGAGTGAAAGATTCTGCTAGCGTATAACTTTTTGGGGGTAGAGAGGATATATGAATGATAGAATAAAAATTAAATATTTTATCTGATCATTCATAATGACTATCTAATTTGAACAACAAGCCTGTATTTAGACAATACTAAAATATTCCAGCTCAGGACATTTTTACCTCCTTCTAGGGGACCTGCTTCTCCTTCTTGGAGACCGGCTACGTCGGAGTGGTGAACGAGATCTCCTTCGGATGGGAGACCTAGATCTTCTTCTGGATGGTGACCATCTCAGTGGGCTGGCTTCTTTTGATCTCTCCCGTCTAGAGAGAATATCATCTCTAAGTCGGGTTCTTGAAATTAAAAAGAGAAATACACTATTAATGGGTTCAAGGGAAAACAAAAACCAAAAAAATCACAATCTCTTCTTAAAGCTCACTTTAAAATCTTACTGCAAATGAGACTCCACCAGAGGGGTAAGAATACTTAAGTGCTGCCAGTCTGCTTTGCATTTCTCCTGCCCCTGTAAATATCTGTCCAAACACAGACTTAATTCAGCATAACTCACAATAAAATTCACTAATTCCCATCACCCAGCTAAGAGACGCAGAAGTTTTAGTTTAGAAATTGCATTAATAGTGGACTATTTTAAGTTAATGTGCAACAGTACAGAAATATATACATAAAACTAGAAGATTTAGCCAGTGTTGCTTGGCTCCTTAATTTTTTTTTGGGGGGGGGGGGGGGGAATAAAATGAAAATGTACATGTTGAATCATTGCTCTGAGGAGAGGCTACGGATGAGAGTTTCTCACTGCAGCAGCTTGGAGCCAGGTGAGAAGCACCACTCCATGGCTGCTGCAGTCCCAGCAGGTACTATCAGGGGAGGGATGCATTTTCCCTGCCTGGGGCAGGCCCAGGTTCATCTGGTCCCTTACTCCCCAGCCAGAGTGAGGAATGTAGAAAACTGTGACTTTTCATTTGTTCCATGATGAAGGGGAGCATCCAACAATGCTCCTGTATTGAGGGGGGATGGACTTCACTCCCTCCAGTCTTCCCTAAAGGGTGCCGGGGGAAAAGGCTTGGGCCTAGGATGGTCCCAGACCTGGAGGAAGGAGTGCTCCCAGCAAGCCCCTTTCACCTGCCTGGGGATAATCTCTTCTGTATAGTTTTATGAAAATCGACCCTATTCTGGGCACATCCCATTTTCCTGGCACAACCAAACCCTTACCTTGCTTTAAGTTATGATAAGAAGCTTTATACTGAATTTGGTGGTCCTTGCTCTTACTGTTTAAGATGAGTTCTTGAACACACTGAGTGCTCCCAGCAAGCCCCTTTCACCTGCCTGGGGATAATCTCTTCTGTATAGTTTTATGAAAATCGACCCTATTCTGGGCACATCCCATTTTCCTGGCACAACCAAACCCTTACCTTGCTTTAAGTTATGATAAGAAGCTTTATACTGAATTTGGTGGTCCTTGCTCTTACTGTTTAAGATGAGTTCTTGAACACACTCTCCCCCCCCCCCCCCCCCCCCCCCAGCATCCTTGGGGTCTGACCGGTGCCAAACCAGAGAATTTGCTGAACCATGGGAGGTCAATATTGTATTGAGTGGGTGTCTCTATTTTTATTTCATCATGTGATGAGGCTACTGCCCCACACTGGATGAAAGGGGTTAATTCAGGCTGGAGGGAGCCTGCGCAGACCCCCGACCAATGAGGGAGAAGCTTTTTACTAGCCAATTAGGATGTGGCTTGCTGAGGCAGCTGCCCAGAAGAGAGGAGTTAGGCCCTGACCAGGAAAGAGGCAGGTCCAGTTCCCAGAGGCACCTTTGCTAGAGCAGTGCTGGGCAAGATGGGGATTGGGGG